TAGGGTTTAGGTTTTTAGGGGTTTGGGGTCTAGGGTTTAGAGTTTCTCGAAATTACGGGTTGCACTTGAGGATCCCCATAGTCAGGATTATAGTAGCATGGGGTCTATATTGGAGTAGCCCAAGTTATGGAAACTACCGAATGAAGCTGACAACAATGCCATTCTCTTTACATCCATGTTACGGTGATTTATGTTTAGCTTCCTCATAGCAACCCAGTGACTAGCCAGGTAGAGCCCGGAGAGCGGACCACAGATGGCATCGGCATGATCCTTCAGGAACTGGAGGCGAAGCTTCTCAAATGGAGTGCAAGGACCAGAGGGAAGATCATAGTCCAGGTTCCTGGGTTGCTGTTAAGGAACTTAAATTAAGTTACTATATTGGGGGAACCCTATTATTTACAATATATATATACCCATTATGGTAACTTAATTTAAGTTCCTTAACAGCAACCCAGTCATAGTCCAGGTTCACTTGATATTTGCGCTTCAACTCCTGGGCCAGCTTCTGGGTCTCGTTCAAGACAGGGCGTGGTGGGCGGCCTTTTCGTTTCCTCCCTGCCCTGGTTGCCTTGGTGCCTGCAACAGGCTGCCCTGCGTATTCGATAGCCTGGGTTGCTGTTAAGGAACTTAAATTAAGTTACCATAATGGGTATATATATTGTAAATAATAGGGTTCCCCCAATATAGTAACTTAATTTAAGTTCCTTAACAGCAACCCAGTAGCACTCAGCTCTGCGCGGATCAGCGCCGCCTGCCACAAGAGGGGCGGGAGATGCGGGACGATAGGGGCAGCAGAGGCCATGCACGACGGTTCCTCAGAGCAGGACAGAAAGTCAGAGACGCTGGATGCGTAGTCGACATCCGCCGTTGTGGACGTGCATGTGGATGCGACCTCAAGGTCATCCAACTTTTTCATCTCCACATCCAGCCAGCATTCCAGAGTAAGAAAAGGGACATCCTCGTCCTCCTCATCGGTCAGCCAGACAGAGTCCGCCTGCATCCCCTGAACCTCATAGACTTCTTCATACATGCTGCGCCTCAAGTTGTTCCTGCGAGTCTGTGGCAAATAGTCGTCTCCATACTTGCCTAGCCATGCCGGATCACCCCTTGCATGGCGGCTGCCGTTGTTGATGCTGCGCTTTGCCACAGCTCGTCCCAGTCCAACCTACACAAACTCAAGCAAACACTCTGAAAGGTCACAATAATCTATCCCTGCTTAGGACAGTCACAGCGTGACTGCCCTTCAAGAACAGCCTGTGCTTGGAGTTGGGCATTGAGGGTGCAGGGCATCTACTACAATCACAAACATCTGCGCCTCTGCAGCTTGGGCCTACAACAAAAAGTACTGCTTCTGCTGCATAGGCACATCCTTGTCACGTCCCTTCCGGCAGCGTGCTGCCTCCAAGCGCTTGCGGTGACCGCGCTTCCTGGGTTGCTCTTGCAGACCTTGAAGTTACGGCTATAAGGAAACCGTATTCGTTTCTACATATATATATACACACATTTAAATATCTATTCATCTGTATATATGTATATGTTAGTTCCATATTATGTTCACATAATACATTAAGTTCCTGAACAGAAGCCCAGCATCATAGACCAGCCACGCAATGGAAGGTCATCGGCAAAGTCCTCGAGATCCATCGCAATATCCATGGCGCTAGCTGCAGCAACAGAGACAAGACTCGGGGTGTGCCTCAATGAAGCCCAACTTGCTTGGAGCCTTTGACAGGCTGCTGTTCTCCCACACTTCTGACGCAGGATGCAGGATGAGAATCAGCATAGAAATCCATATGTAACGTCATCAGGCCTAAACCCTGAAACCGTAACCCTAAACCCCCTAACCCTAAACGCTTTATCCCTAAACCCTTTATCCCTAAACCCTAAACCCTAAATCCCTAAACCCTAAACCCTAAATCCCTAAACCCTAAACCCTAAATCCCTAAACCCTAAACCCTTTATCCCTGAACCCTTTATCCCTAAACCGTTTATCCCTAAACCCTTTATCCCTAAACCCTAAACCCTTTATCCATAAACCCTAAACCCTAAATCCCTAAACCCTAAACCCGTTATCCCTAAACCCTAAACCCTTTATCCCTGAACCCTTTATCCCTAAACCCTTTATCCCTAAACCCTAAACCCTTTATCCCTACACCCTAAACCCTAAATCCCTAAACCCTAAACCCTAAACCCTTTATCCCTAAACCCTAAACCCTAAACCCTAAATCATGGGCGTTGCTCCTTGGCTTGGCCTTGCCCTTGGAGAGTGCCTCGCGGAACTTTCGCTGAGCCCGGTCGCCTCGAGCGCTGTCGCTAAGTGAGGTTTAGGGTTTAGGGCTCGGGGTTTAGGGTTTGGGGTTCAGGATCTAGGGCTTAGAGTTTAGGGTTTGGGCCTAACATGTTGCAGAACTTCACAGAGTCCTCTGAGAGTTCGTTGGGAGTAGGGCAAGAGTTGGGATGATTCCTGACGAGGCCTAGGACGGTATGGGGCACCTTTGGAAGCCGCCCTTTGATTCTTCTTCCATACAGCCATGCATTCGATGCTGCGCTTAATACGACAGCTGGTCAAGCTTCGAAAGTTGGGGCGATCGTAACGATGAACAGTCAACGGGGAAGCTTGTCCAAAAAAGAAACAGTAAGCCCAGGGACATCTGAATGCAAGATCTAGTTGACACACCCTGAAACACCCTCATCCCTCTTCCGTATAAGCAATCTCATCTACCTCTTCTCGCATGATGCCTCGCTGTCTTATGAAGATTGCAAGCGTGACAGTTATGACAACGACAAATGCAATCACCATCTTCGTGGTCCATGACCCTCAAAGAGTTCCACACTCTCCAAGATACCTCCCCCAGCATTCCACCGCAAGTTTTTCAAATCACGCTTGACATGCCTACGGCCACTAAATCCGTCCTTCTTGGACAGCTCGCAACAATCTTGCCTCATACCTCTGGCTAGCAAGGAATAAAGGAACGATTCCGTGCACTAGCCGCTATACAATCCCCAATAACACGGTTGTACCATGCTCATATAACCACTGTAAGTATCACACCCCAAAATGTCGTAGTTTCCATTTCCTTTTCCAATCCCTCACTCCCTAAACTCTAAATCCCTAAAGCCTAAACCCTGAATCCTCAAACCCGAACCCTAAATCCCTAAATCTCTAAACCCTGAACCGCTAAATCCCTAAACCCTAAATCCCTAAACCCTGAATACCTAAACCCTAAATACCTGAACCCTAAATACCTAAACCCTATACCCTAAATCCCTAAAGCCTAAACACTAGCTGCTAGCCAAAGGTAGGCGACTCCCAGACGTGCCTCTTGCAAGGATCTCATGTGGAATGGCACTGGACTCCTTGATGCCAGCAGATACTCGCCTGGCAAGACACATAGCGATTCCGAGACAAACCCTCTGGTACAACACAGGAACTGTGTAAAGGCTTGTATCAAGGTTGCTTTCGGCCATTTTCGTACAAGAGGAAGCTGTGGAAATCTTCCTGCCAATAGTTGCTATTTTGTATTTGGCCTACCCCACCGGCTACGAGACTTACAGTTCTGCTCCAGTTTACCATATACTCCTGCATTATGTAGCAGCTTCAATTTTCTTCTCCGATCCCTCTGTCCATCTGGTAGCTTTCCCAAATTAGGGTCCACAATATAAACCCCCAAATACTATAATCTTTATTGGAAGTACCCCCAAAAAGGGATCCCTAATTTCGGGAAACCCAAAACCCTAATCCCAGAACCTCATATTCCCCTATAGACCCTACATGACCCCTATATATCCCCTTTAAAGGTACCCCTAATTTTGAGGAAGCCTCCCTAAACCCTAAACCCTAAACCCTAAACCCTAAACCCTAAATACCCTAAATACCCTAAACCCTAAACCTTCATCTTTGAGCGCCTTCCATGCAGGCCCAGGTTTACTGGCCCCTGGGAGCTGGAGGTTGACGGAGTTCGTGCGGAGGCATCGCGGTCCGGCCGCCTGGCCAGGATTAGGGTTTAGGGTTTAGGGGTTTAGGGTTTAGGGTTTAGGGGTTTAGGGGTTTAGGGTTTAGGGTTTAGGGGTTTAGGGGTTTAGGGTTTAGGAGCCAGGGCTTCTCGGTCATCTAAGGATCCTCACACTAGTAATGGTAAAAGTCATAGTAATCGTAATAGTAGTGGGAATGGTAATAGTAAGAGTACTAGCATTAGTAATAGTAATAGCAACAGTAATATAGCTATAGTAATGTAATTGCAAGGAATATCTTTGTCAGGGGAGCGTGTCGGCGTGGGGGCCTAAACAGACATGCCATTTTGGTCTTGAAAGCACCAGTTACAGGACTCTAGGCTATAGGAAGGTTTGCACATGGGCCGGCAGCAAATGCATCTTCCTGCTGGTGTTTCTATTTTGCATATGCATTCAAGTGCCCTTTTCATCGGGTGGGAAATAAAGCATTGAGCTTCGCGCTATGAGTCATCTGCTCGTATTGGGTGTTCCCTACTTAACTCAAACATACGAGCGGCCATGAAACACACATGGTTACCCCAGTTTCTCTAAAAAACATATAGCCCTCAAGAGTGCAGTAATTCTCATGTTCTTTTCCACTCTCCCCTATATGCTCTTACATATCTCTATAACCCTGAAACTTGTTACCTGCTGGAACACTGTTTGATGTCATGTCGACGGGCTTTTTCAAGCCCGGGCCACCCCCTGCATGGCCTCCAAGCGGGTGCGGATGGGTACTAATTCGGGGCCTCAATCATTGCCTCGGTCTATTTGAGGTACAGTATTCTGTAATCATATACAGAACCCAGGACCATAATATTGGTAATTATCTAGGCTTCTACAGTACAGCGCTTGTGTGATAGTAGGTTGTAAAGCTGCGCTCTACCCAACTCCTTACATCCCGCAAGTCTATCCCCTCCCAACACACGCAGTCTTCCTTCAACGTATATACTTCCCCCTCCCCCCCCCGGGCCAGCACAGCTCAAAAAACACCTAATCCATCTGTATGCCTAGGCAACACATCCGCCTGACCGCTGGGAAGCGGGTTGCAGCTGGTGGACCCCGAGGCCGGGGTGATGCGGAGCCCCGGAAGGGAACATCAATGGCCGGGAGCTCCTTCCAAGTAGGGTTTAGGGCTTCAGGTGTAGGATAGCTGCGAAGTGTAGAGGTTTGAGAATTCAAAGGGCTTCGGGGTTTAGGGCTTCAAGCTTCTTAGGGTTTAGGTCGTATAGGGTGCTATCAGCTCTAGTCTGCGTGACGTGCTGTAGCACTGCACACGTACTGGGCAAGTCATATCACAGTAAAGGCCGTTTCTGACACATACCCAGTGGCAGCTACATGAACGGTGAGCTTGGGCGGGGTCCCATCGCGGCTGCTATCCCCATGAATCATAATATAACCCCAAAATAACCTCTATACAATCCCTATATATGTAATATAGTGGTTTCCATTTTCTTTTCCACTATCCGTATATAACCCCAAAAGCTGCTTCAGCATTTTTCTCGCCATTTTTTGGTATGTGTGGTTTTCAGGTGCTGAAGTCCCTGACCAGGAACTCTTCTATAGTCTGGGTTGCTGTTAAGGAACTTAAATTAAGTTAGCATAATGGGTATATATCAGCAAATGGGTCTAAGAATCAAATGGAAATTTGAATTGAACGCAGCTCGAGCGTGCTCTGAGCATAGCGGGCACTTCTGACCCATCACTCCATACTGCTGTGAAACAACGATACATAGCTAGCCAGAGCTGCCCCGCTTAGCACCACCAATGA